ATGAGAATTTCATGCTCTTTTTTAACTAATCTTTTTAGATTTTTTTTTCTGAAGTCAGTACCTTCGGCCTCCCATCGAAAATCGACCTTGAGTTAAGTTCATTCAAGTCGTATGAAATTTTCAGGATATGTCGAGAGTCTATATTAAAATTCGAAAGAACATATCATATTACATTGTCTGGCAAATGTCTTACTTTTTATACGGAAAAAAAGAAAGATTAGTGAAATATCTTGAAAAAAAATCTCAGAAAAATATTTATCTATTTATAGAAGTACTCTTTTGTAAAAATAATAACAAAAAAAAAACTTAATACAGAGAATGGACTCTATTAGTCAATGCAGTTTGATATCTACTTACAAACAAAAACAAAAGTAATGAAATACAACGATGCTTCTTCGAGAAGATCACACAAAAGCATGAAGTGTATTTTTCACGTAGAAGATGATGAGAGTCATCAAAGATTTTTCAAAAACAAGATACTAAATAAAAATCCATATCAATTGTAAATATCAGACCTCGAACTCTTTTATCTTACTTTTGATTTTTTTGATGACTACTATCCATTTAAAAATACAATGAATTCGATTGTAAGTTGAATAACTCGAGAACGCAAGCAGCTAGAGACTTGTGCTTTTCAACATTCAAAAAAGAATAATAAATTCTGATTCGAATTGATTACTTTTTAATTCTATTCAATTGTTTTGAATTAGTCGAAAATAGACTTGGCATGTTATAGAAAGATTTTTTTTGTTTAAAGTAATCTAAATATTTGGTTTATTTAGATAATAAGAAAAGATGATGAAGATTCTGATGATGAAAAAATTCTCGAAGAACAACAATCAATTACTACTTCAACACCTGGTATTGATATAAAACATCGATATTTTATTGGAAAAGATTATTCAAATGCATATAAAAAAGATTTTAAAGAACTTCACGACTACAGAACAGGTAATTAGTCATTTTTTGTTTTTCATTTATGTCAAATCTTCTAATATAAACTGTACTATAGATTATATTACACGAACATTAGTACCACGTATGCCATGGCATGATGAAGCATTAGTTGTATTTGGTCAAACAGCTCGAGATGTTGCAAGACATTTCATTCAACGATGGAATATTCATAAAGTTAGCTAAAAAAATTGATTTACTTCATTTTCATCATTGAAGACTGACTATCGAATCAGATAGAATCCATTCTATATGTTAAATTTTTATTATAATTAATTAGTTTATTATCAAAACAAGTGATTATCATCTGAGTTGATAACTAATGTCCATTTCAAAAAAGACAAAAAAGACGACTGGATATTTTTTTTTTGAAATGGACATTAAGTCAGTTTTAAATCTATTGCTTGATCAAAAAGTTGTTAGCTCAATCCTTATGAGATGAAAATGTAAAACACGATGTAGGTATTGTTACTAATTACGCGAATATTATTTTCTTAGATATACTTTGGAAATTATTTCTTCATCATTTACGGAAATTCTCTAGAACGGCAATACGAAAGCAGTGGTTCTATTGTCATAAGATTCTAGTGATATGTAATCGCTGAACATGTATTCAAAGGTCTGTGAGCAGCGGAGGATTCAAATTTCTACCCTATGTACCCAGGTGAATGAATCCGATACCGGATCCAATCGGATCTGATCGGATCCGACTATCCGACAAAATCCTATGGAATTCCGGGAAACGGATCGACTAACGGATCTGACGGACGAAACCTATTTTCTTAATTACGTGCTAATTAGCATTTTAACCCAATACTAGAGACCAGTCATATTTATACGATGAATTACTATCGGAATCCGATAGTAGGATCCTATAATGTCTAGACACTAAGGTTCCGTTAGTAGGATCGTCTCCCGGATTCCTATAGGATTTCGTCGGATTTATAGAAATTCCAATAAAATCCGATCGAATCCGATAGGAATCCGATCGGATCCGATTGTTGGAATGATTCTCCGGGGTACTTCAACACTCCTTTTAGATCGTGTTTTATAAAACAGATAGGTTTCATGAACTCCACCATAGGGATCACAATCCAGTGATCTCTGTGCCGGTCGCAAGTCCGGAAAAAGGAGGCGCGTTAAACGGAAGGGGTGCAGATACCGCCGTTTGTGAAAAAGAAAAGACGACAGAAACCAACCATGAACGGTCAACGTCAAAAACCATTCCGGCTCGGACGTCGCCCGGGTGAACAAGGTCCACGTCCTCTGTCGTGGAACCAGGACAGAGTCGAAAAATTGGCTACTGGAACAACCAATCGAACAATCAATCAGGCAATAACAACAAGCCACGCAATAACAGCACCAACGTTATCAATACCAACGATAAGAAACCAGTTACAAGCACAGACAACAACGACAACAGCGAACAGCCATGTATCAAACAAATTAAAATTGACAAAACGTATTTTCACTGTGGGTACTTGGAACGTTCGAACATTATGGGCAACCGGTAAATTGGAACTATTAAGAAACGAAATGAAACACTACAGATATGATGTTATCGGCATATCAGAGGTGCGTTGGACAGGAAAAGGTGAAACAACAAATGGTGATTTTATTTGGTCAGGTGAAAGCAATACAGATACAAAAGGCGTGGGAATGTTACTAAGCGTAAAAGCTCGTAAAGCACTTCTCAGCTACAATCCAGTTAATTCAAGATTAATTTCGGCACGATTTACAGCAACACCATTCAACTTAACAATAATCAATATTTATGCACCAACATCGGAAGCGTCAATGGATGACATTGAAACATTTTACGACAATCTGGAAGAAGCGGTGGCGAATACTCCAAAAAAGGATATACTCATTATTACTGGTGATTGGAATGCAAAAGTGGGTGATAACAATACAGGATGGGAATCTGTCATGGGTAAATATGGCTATGGAACAATAAATGAACGTGGT